CCGGAGAGCTCCGTCGCATTCGAAATGCATGGTGGACGTGGAAGGCGAAGCATATGGAATGCTACGCCGAAGACCGCCAACACAAGGAATACTTTGACTCATTTTAGGCGGTGTATGGGTAGAGGTTGTAGCCGCTGAGTTAGCGCAAACCGCACAATTGGCGGCCAATATCCTTGGACAACAATTTGGCCGTACCTTCCAAAGTGTGCAATCATCATACATTCTGCCTAAGCAGCTAATGTCGCCATCAGGTTTTAATCACATATCGTTCACCTCCGCAGCTGTACTGAAGAGGCCGAAGTCTCTGCACGAGTTCAGCTCCCCGGGTGCTAACGGCATTCGCCCGAAGGCGTGTAAATTTTCTGCATTGAGTTTGGCGGCGCCACGAACAATTTTCTTTTAACAATGTCTGAACGACATGCACGTCCCCCGATGTGGAAGCAGGGAATCTTCACGCTAATCTACAAAAGTGGCAGCCGTGCTGTACCTGCAACTTATCGCCTGATAACACTGCTTCCTGTGATCAAGGTTATGGAGTCCATTGTAGCTGAGGCTTTGATGGGATACTTGGAGAACAACAAAATTCTCGTTCCGGAGCAACAAGGATTTCGCCAAAATCGGTCTTATATCATTTTCTTTTGATTGCTTGTGCAAGCTGGACGGAATGTGTGGACGCTGATGTAGGAGTCAACGCGGCCTACCTTGATTTCTCAAGGGCATCCGACCGTCTAGACCATCGCATTCTACTCCACAAAATCCAGCAATATGGAATCGGCGATCCTGTTCTCGGCTGGATAGAAAACTTTCTCGTTCAACTTCACCTTAATGTGAGCGTTCGAAGCAATCTGTCGGAATCCATCGAACTTCAGTGCGGCATACCTCAGTGCTCGGTACTTCGACCCGGCTATTCCTAATTTTCATAAATGATCTCGCGAACGTGCTATCTTCTAACTGTTTGCTATTTGCTGATGACCTAAAGGTATGGCGAACTATAGCTGCAGTGGAGGATCACGCAATGTTACAGGAGGACCTGGACAAAGCGTACATATAGTCCATCGAGAACATGGTGCATTTCAACGTCACCAAGTGCAAAGTCCTCAGCATACTGCACAAGAGTGCGCAAAAGTACCGCCAAGGACCACAAATAATACAGCGGGCTTGGCACAAGTGCGATCTTGGTGTGATAGTTCAAGATGACCTCGGTTGTTTGAGGCAGACTGATAAGGCAGCTAAGAAAGCGAACCAGTACTTCAGCCTTCTTCGCAGAGCTTTCGGGAAGTTTGACCCTTCAGTCTTTCCAAAAATGCTTAGTGCAACGTGAGGTCGCACGAGGAATACGCTATTCAAACGTGGCAACCCTGGCTCAAGCACCATCACACCGCGCTCGATACTGCGCAACGTAGGGCAACGAAGAGCGTCAGAAGTTTGACTAGCCTCCCCTACCCACTCAGGCTGAACACACTCAAAATATACAGTGGACGTTATCGGCGTCGAAGGGGCGAGCTCATAATTGTGTACCAGATCCTGAGAAACCTCAACCACCCATGCCATTCCCTTCTAATACTCAGTCAGAACACCCCGATAAGAGGTCATCAGTTTAAGCTGGTCACGCAGTACAGCCGACTGGAAGGTCTGCGAAACCTTTTCTCCCTGTGAGTGGCACAGCCTTGGGACGCCACCCAGGAACATGTAATTAATGCTCCCACCCTATCTCTATACAAAAAACGCCTTGACGAAACTCTGTCACATTTACACTACGGGCTATGGCCATGACCACAAGATGCTGGCACTAATGCATAACGGACAGTGGACGGTGCCATAACCCTACTCGAGAATGATTCACTCCAAACCCATTACACACAATTTGATATACGCTACTACTATAGAAACTGGATTTCTGTGTCTTGTCGACCCAAGATAGTTGCACACGAGTAAGCGTTGTCCTTGCTATCTTTTTTATTTTTTCTCACCCATTATGTGATCAATAACCACTCTCTTTATTGCTTTGAATGTGCACATTTTGATTTCAAACGCCCTTTATAAGGCAATGCAGAAAAATATATAATCGCCTCAAACGACGATTCCATTATCCATTGATCTATCTTTGCTCACGCCAACCACCCAACGGGACATATCAAGTACCTGCTTTTTCACCCGTCATAAATCATTGTTCATTGTTCTTTGATCAACGGTAGTCCAGGCGCAATCTGCACACAGGTCGCAGACGTAATGCAGATTTGGCAAAACAATTTGACTGTCAGTTAAACAACCGTTCAGTAGTCGACTTGTCTACCATGAACGGCCTGAAGCAGCACGATGTGACGGCGAGTCTGGCGGACACTTCGACACTGCATGAGACGCAGAGAGCACTTGCTCAGCTGCGCAACGGCAAGTGTGTTGGTGCTGACGCGATACCGCAGAAAGTATTTAAACACGGCGGAGCCGCGTTGGTGAATGTGTTGCACCACTTGGTGCAATTCGTATGGATTGAGGAGGAGGTGCCTGCAGAGCTGAAGGATGTCCTTGTGCTACCACTGTACAAGGGCAAAGGAGCAAACCACGTTGCACGAATTATCGTGGCATTAATTTGCTGAGTTGTGTGAACAAGATGATTGCTCGAATCCTGCTCAACCGCGTCGTCAGTCAGGTTGTGGAACTTAACGTGGCGGAAGAGCAGTGTGGATCCCGTCCGGGTCGCAGTGCCATAGATATGGTTTCTGCGGCTCGTTAGTTGCAGGAGAAGTGCAGAGAACGACACAAGCCATTGCACTCGTTGTTTGTTGAATTCACCATGGCACTTGATACGGTGAACCGCGAGGCATCGTGGTTGATGTTGGATAAGTTTGGTTGCCTGTGTAAGTTTTTAAGTTTAATTGAATGTCTGCGCAGTGGTATGCGGGCGAGGGTGCAGCTGAGTTGAGAGACCTCGGATGAATTTGCAGTTGTCTCTGGTGTGAAGCAAGGCTGTGTCTTAGCTCCTGCCCTGTTTAATATATATCTTCATGCAATGATGTCTTGTGCTTTTGATTTGGCTTGTGCTTACGGTGTTCGTTTGGAGCACCGTATGGATGGTGTTTTGCTGAACACCCGTCTTTTCGGTGCGAGCACTGTAGTCTGTGAGACAACTATTCGCGTGTTGCCGTTTGCTGACGACTGTGCGTTGTTTGCACACAGCACGGATGAGTTGCGGCACATGGCTAGTGCTCTGGCTTCGACATCTGCCAAATTCGGGCTCAGCATCAACACAAGCAAAACTGTCTGTCTCTTGCAGCCTTCACCGGAGGTGCAATCTTCAATATTGTCGCGAATCAGCATTGGTGCTGAAATATTGGAAACCACTTCCCGCTTCTGCTACCTTGGGAGTGTGATGTCGACTGATCAGCAGAAACACGGGGAACTGCGTATCCGCTTGTCGAAGGGAGCTGCGGCATTCGAGAAGCTAGAGTACCGAGTGTGTAATAACCATCAGCTTAGGATTGGCACGAAGCTGATGGTGCACAAATCCATGGTGTTGTCCGTTCTCCTATGCGGCAGCGAAAGGTGGACGATATATATATATATATATATATATATATATATATATATATATATATATATATAAATTCTGATTACAGATAAAGTGCCATCAGAACTGCTTCGAGATAAATGGGTGAAATAAAATACATGACTAGAAAATTAATTTTTCGGTTCTTCACTCGGCTTTTTGAGACTTTTATATTTCCGTGTTTTACTTTATGAGACTTTAATTTGTAGCTTATACGGCCGAACAGCACTGTCTCCACTGATGATTTTTGCACGCCATACTATCCAACCTTTATGAGCGCTGGCAGTCCGAATCGCGTGTTTCCCACCCTAGAAGGCGGACGTGTCCGACGGATGCTAGACTTGCATTTGACTTCTTCTTGCTCCTTCTTCACCCCATTAGTTATCCACAGCGACACTTTTCCCACACGCTTCCGGTGAGCGCAAATAACGTTCCACGGGGAATTCGATAGGCTTGCATGGACGAGCCAACGCATGCCGTGTCGGATAATAGCCTTTTGGAGGCATGGCCCTTGGCTCCCAACACTCGCTCACGGAATTCTATGTTAATCACGTAATGCTGTCACGATGCGCGAGCTTTCTTACGCAGAAAACGATTGTCAAAGTTGTCAGTGCTTGTATGTCTTCCGAGCGCGTCGGCGAAGTCTCACAGCCTTACACTGCACGGACAGAAGCATTGTACACCCTGACCCTGACCTTGAGACTGATGTCGCGATGTCGCCATAGGTGTCTCAGTCTGATGAACGCAAGGCGGGCCTTTGAGATCCGTTGTGAGACCTCATCTCCTATACAGCCGCGAGCTGTGATGCAATTCCCTACATAAGTAATGCAGTGGACTTGCTCCGGGTCGTCACCAGCAATGGTGAGGGTAGGCACGGGCCTCTGACTATCCTGGAGTAGTATGACATTTGCCTGGCGTGAAACACAGACCATACTTAGATGCTGATATGACCTGAACTACTCCAACTAGGTGAATGAAAGACTAGATCGTGGGTATGACCAGGGAGTATGGATACAACGAGATCAAGAGTCATTAGTTAACATATGTCCCGTAATGGCTGAGTTATACGTTTCATTAATGGTTACCTCACAGATGGTCGCTTGGGCGGTGGCACAATCTGATTGGATAGGGGGATAGCTGGGATCAGGTGATAGCTGGGATCGGGTAATATGAAGCAAGTTGGGTTACACTTCCGTATATGACAGACGCGTCTACTGCTAAGCAGTTCAGAGCTTTCTAGACGGCTTGTGGATCGTCCCCAAGCCAAGCGATATCATCGGCGTAGTCCACGTCCGCGACTGTCACCTTGGAGAAGCTCAATACCGCGGTTTTGAGGACCTTCCAATGCTCCTTAGACGAGATCTTCAATGGCGAAATTGAAGAGGAAAGGTGAGATGGGACAACTTTGGCGCTTACCACTGATGGTCGCATACGAAGAGAAAAACGTTCTTCAAGCTATGATTCTGCCCGACTTGTTACTGTAGAGATACTTCGGGATAGTTACAAAGTTATCGGGTAAACCTTTCCCTAGTAGACAGTTCCACAACGCAGAACTATCTACTGAGTCAAAAACCACTTGAAAGTCCAAGAATACTACAATTAATGGCCGTCGGTGGACGTGACGGAGTTCAAGAAGTTTACGGAGTGTGAAGGTGTTATCCATCCAACCTCGATCTGGATGGAAACCTGCTTGTTCATCTCGGGAAACGTCTTCTCGAGTCGCTATGGTCCAGTCTTGTCGCGAGCTCGATGTCACTAATGTATCGTATTCAAGTGATGCCGCGGAGGACATTCCCTGTGCAACCAAGTCAGAAGGTATTATAGTCTTGTAGAAAGATACGCTCAAAGCTGTCAAGCATGTCAGTAAGTTAAGCAGTGAACAATCTACGCCAAATGATAATAACAAACTAGCTGATATCCAAACCACAGAATCAAAACTTATCGAACTGTTGCTAAAAGTGGAAAGGAATCCTTTCCAGAGGAATGTGGGCCCAAGAAAAGTTTTAACTTTAATATACTTACTGAGTGTACAAAATAAGCGATCTTCTTGTGATACCTAGACTGAACCTAAGTATAAAGGGGCCTTGGTATCTGGTATAAGACTTCAATCATCGCCTGCGGTTCACTCTGCTCCACCGCTCCTCCGTTTATCAGATTCATCTGGCATTAAATCGTTGTACTCCCAACGTCAGACCCTGAGACTGCTCGTGCTAGTTAGTGATCTAACTTGTACGTCACCAACAGGCAATATACTTGATGAAACACCAAGTAGCACCTACTGCCCCACGTAACCTTACCGGTCACCAACAGGTGCAACAGCAGTTTTTTGACAACGGCCGGAACCTACCGCCGCCACCCTTAGTGCCCAGTCTTGCCAGTCTTGTGAAGCATCTCAATTGTAACAAGCTTCTAAATGTAGCACAATTATACCAGTCTTACGGCGGCCATCATTCACCACCACCCCCATCATGACAAACGAGGCATTCAGCAGCAAAGCCATACCCTTACATATCAATGAAGTCCTAACGCTGCCACACGAGCAAGGCACTATCAAGTCGCTTTTTATCATTGTTGGCGCTCTACATAATAAAATACACACTTCAGCACATCTGATTACTCTCCTAACTCCTGATTTACCACATATCACTGAAACATGGCATAACCCTCACACTCCAAGTGAGTTCTAAGAAATAGTGGGCTATTAATCATTCATGAACAGCCGACAGCTTGGCAAGGGAGCATGTGTGCTAGTTATGCTCTGGACCAGCTACGTATTCAAGTAATAATAGACCCGCAACTCAGTATCATAAATGAATCCGTATGGATCTCCATAGAAATGAATTATCCTGTAATTTTGGTCGGATGTATTTATAATCCACCTCGTTATGTCGCATTAATTTTAGAAAACCTTACTTACGCTTTTGGGTTTTGTTTATGAGCTGCATTTGCATAAAATGATAATCAGAGGTGACTCTAATTAACCAGAGTATACAGCACTACCAAGACTATTGAGCATCGTTTGTTAACTTCGCGCCAATGGATGGACACAATTGGTTCACTAACCTATCAGAGAAAACGACATTTTGGATGTCATTGCATCCAAGACATACAATTCCCATGTTTCAATGTATTATCTCGTTTCCCAACTACTGCTCATAGTTCGCTTACGTTAGTTTGGCGGCAACCGATCAGGCCAGCATTGTAACACAATACTGTAAGCAGAAGCCTGTAGGGAGTTTAGAAATGTAAACTGCTATATATTTGCTCTACTACTTCAAAAATCCAACTGGGGTCTCTGTTTATTCACCAGAGATCCACAGATTTCAGCCGATGAAACATACACTAGTGTCCATCAATATTTTCATGAAAACTACGCGTGAAACACATTTCCTGTGTAAGCTGTAAATACTACCTTTAAAAGTAAGATAAACACGCAACTCCTCTTGCAAATCAGACAGGATACACTATTTGAACATTTCAGTGGATTCGTTTCCCAAGGTTACTGTCAGACGAAGATTGAGCATTGGCACATGACAATAAATCTAAAGACTTGATCAAGCTACCGAACGCAAGAAACGACAGTAGCAATTATTAGGTATTACGAATCGTACTACCTGAAAGATCCATGACCAGAAACCCCACCATAAGTAGGTACGTCATGAATGAACGCTTTCCTTCTGTTTACTACCTCAAGCATCACTCATAAGATTAGCGCTCCTACTGATTTTGGCAAGCTGAACACAGTGCAAAACGATTGCGGCATTATTCCATTTCACAGCGCTCCACTACCGTCTTCGTCTTATCCTGGATTCGATAGTCCGCCGAATTCGCCAATAGAGTTTAGTGACCACGATATATAGACTTTGTTTCGAAACATGTTCATAAATCTAAGAATTTGGGGATCTTCCCGAATCCATGGAAACGCTGTATTAACGAGCCTATATATAAGAATGACTCAACACTAGATATTAAACATTTTCGCACAATTAACTACACACGGATAATTTAGAGAAGAATGGAATCTATTATGAAAGAGAAAACGGTTATTTATATGCTTTCAATTTAATGCTTTCAATTTAATAATACCAAATGAACATGGGTTTTCGCAAAGACACTCATGCTAGAATTGTCGGCTAACCTTTATAAACAATCGGACAAGCTCCAATCACAATGTCGAAATGGCCACCATTCCCATTATTTGTATGCAGACTGCTTATGACAGAGTGGGTAAGACAGTCTTTTGGATCACGATCGGAAGGTTCAAGTCTTATCTTTCTGAGCACACGCAACTGGTACAAATACTGCATACTAAGATTAACGGTGTGGTGATTCAAGGTAGTGTGTTAGGTCCCTCGCGCTTTCTAATGTATATCAATGATATAGCTGAAAAACAAAATTTGGGACACCACATATCTTTGTGGATGATATAAAAATAACCTCCACCTTCGATATCCGGTGTTTGAGCGATAAGCTAGAAAACCTTCGTATAGACCGGCTGGCCTTACACCGATTGGTAAACGACATTCTCAGCGGACAAATGCGGTGTGTTGACATGCGAGTGCGAACTTTCCCCAACTGCGCTTTACGTTGGTGGTTAAACCATCCGTGATTTAGGCATCAGTCATCATCGTTATACACGTTAGCTGCAGGTGGAGGACAACTTAGCTATGATGCCGCAATACAAAAGACGGGAAAAATACGACAGAGGCACGCCGGCTGAGTCCCCATAACGGACGGACATCGTTCCGGAGAGCTAACAGAAGGCTATCCTGTAGCAAAATGTTATATCATGCCTAACGAGTGAGATCGTGATTGGAGGGGTGACTAATCAAGAGGGGGATGGACAAAGGAACTCACAACATAAAAGCCATTGGGGCCGGCTCCTAGACATCTCAGCAAGTGTGTCCAAGCAAATGTGTTCAAGTTCCTTAAGACCCCAGCCAGGCAATCGGGATGCACCAACCGACGCCAACTTCGAAGTGAGGGTTTTCATTCCTCTCGACCAAGTCATAACTTGGCCTCCCCTTCTCCTCCTCCAACCGTACCCCCGGCGCGCAAACTATGTACGTCGCGCGAATCGGTGTGCTGGCATGCGCAACACGTGGCCTAACCATCGGAGCCTGGTGCGTGATATAATGGAGCTGAGCGGTTCACTAGCTCTTCCTGCACCAAATACGCGACACCGAACACGCTCATTGCTCACGCGGTGCTCCCATCAGACTTGAGCTAAGCTGCGAAGGCAGCGACGATCGAACCTTGCTAGCTTCTTTATGTCTGTCGACCTGATGGGCCAGGTTTCATAACCGTATAAGAGGGTTGAACGGACGGCTGCATTATAAACTCTGCCCTTCAGGGCGAGAGTGATGTCGCGTATTCACCACAGATGGCGGAGGTTGGTAAAAGTACGGCGCGATTTTGCTGTACGGTTCGTAATCTCAGCTTCGATCACACAGGCCATAATATAGCTGCCCAGGTACTTGAATCCCTGAAAGAGTTCTAGCTGATCACCACCAAGGGTCAGCGCAGTGGTGATCCTTACCAATCTTGGAGAAGAACTTTGCATTTCGATGGGGCAAAGCATAGCCCAAAACGATTGACAGCCAGTGCTAATCGGTCCAGTAGAGCCTGGCACGTTCGGTCGTTGTCACAGATTAGGGCAACGTCGTCTGCATACTCCAAGTCAAGAAGTCGCTCACCAAGAAGTAGCTCCAAACTTCTAGGTCGTGTCCAACGAACGGTGTTTCCATGACTCCATCAATAACGAAGTTATAGAGAAAAGTTGACAACGGACAACAATGTCTCACAACGCTGGAGATATTGAAGGACAGCGACAGTTTGCCATAAACCTGCAGTCTGTCCGAACTATGTGCCTATAATGCTCGGATAATATTTAGATATTTCTCGGGCACACCTTTTTTGAATATACAGCCACAAAGGGGATATCGATCAACCGAATCGAAGGCACCATTGATGTCGAGGAACACGACTATGGTGGACCGCCAATATGTGATGATGCTCTGACAATTGGAAGCAAAGTGAAAATATGGTTGCTGCAACCATGACCCCGACGTCCGAAATGTAAGCCTCCCTTGAAAATCGTGGCTATGACGGAGCGGCTCCATTCTCTGTCGGGACAGTTTCCAGCGTTCAAAGCTCCATTATCAACGTATGTAAATCATCTAAAAGAGCGGGTCCACCGAATTTGTGGAGGGATGGGGAAATTCTATCTGCACCTGCGACCTTATGTAATTTCAACAGTCTGAGCTCACGTTCTACTTCTGCGCGTGAGGACGGACCTACGGAGACGGCCCATGGAGACGGGCACTCAATGTCTGAAAGAGAAAGCGTTAAGTCAGATTGGTTAAACTGCTTTGCTAAATGTTCGGCCCAAAGTTTCAAGCGTTTAAAATGGTGTGGATCGGCTGTCCACTCTCCTCGCGTATTGTTTCGCTGACACAAGGTCTCCTGCTACCTAGTTCCTGTATCAGACGGAAGATCTTACGATGATTACCAGCGGCAGCGTCTGTTTCCATTTCAGATGCATGATGAGACCACCTGGCTCCGCCGTTTTTCTTCAAACTAGCACGCAATATTGCCCTGAGATTTTGCTTTTGTTTTCGCTTCCTGCCGGAATACGCCGTTGAGCATTCATAAATTCCAGAGACATTTTGGAGACCCAGTGTGCCGGTTGGCAGTTTGATTTGTCACATGAAGACATGCCTGCTGATAGTATCGTTTGACGAATATGAGACTAGTGATATTCAATGTTGTTCAGTGGACGCTTACTCAGCC